TGGAGCTTAACTAATTGGAGTAATAGAGAGTAATAAGGCTCTGATAAAAAGCCTTCCTCTGCCTCCTTTGTATCTTGTGTCATCGCCTGTCAGAGGTCAGAGAGCTTGCATATTCTATTAGGCAGAGTTGCCTTCATTTGTACAAATTAGTTTACCCAACAGTAATTAAAATGCCAGTGCGGGTCGGGGAGAGCTGAATACAATTGATGGGCACGTTGGTGAAGGATTTGACAGCTCTGGTGGCCTCCCTTGCCAAAGCGTGTCAGTGCTGAATCAAAGGCTACACAAACCCACGGACCCGTGCGTTTAACCCGCGGCACTGTCGGCACCAACTGCTCTCTCTCTTCTCCTATCTCCTTTTTGGACTTGCTTTCTCTTCTCCTTCTTTTCTCATCTCACTTGAGACTTTTTAAAATAGATGTTTCCCATCTTTGAGCTGTCCTTTCTGTTGATTGCTTTCATAACACTGCTACTACCCCCCCCATCCTGTCTCCCTTGGTTCTCCCCCTTCTTTCCCCCCACCTTCCACATTCCCAGCTGCAGGGCTCTGTCAAGTAATAACTTCTTTGTTTCCCAGTCCAGTGAGTCTCCATATATAATAGTTTCCAAAATGGAACAACGATGTCCAATTCCAGGGGGCAGGGGAGCGCGCCAGGAGGAAGGAAAAGGCTCTTGCACGTGTCAGGCAGATTCTGGATTTGAAATCCCTGAAAAGCAGAACAGAACTAGAAAAGCAATCTGTTTACAGTACAGGGGAAGGGCACATGCCTGGGGCACAAAGGAGGTGTAGTAAGAGGTGTGAAAGGAACTGTTTTATCCAGGTTCCTACAATGACTTTGCATTACAGGATTCCCAGCTCTGGCAGGACCCACTCTGGAGGCTGGGTTGATAGTGGGGAAAGTATGTATTGTTCAATGTGACTTGTATTTCTGGAGCTGATATTATTTCCAAGCCTCGGGATGAACAGCATCTTTCCGAAAGGACTAATGGGCATCTACCTCTGTCCTTCTGGTTTGTTCACATCTGGCAGTGGTCTGTTCAGGATGGGGTAAATAGGGATGCTACACAAGTCAAACTGTAGTTGGCACCTTGGGTGCAGCTGTAGGATTATTGCAGCTGGAGTGTAGCCAGAGCACTACTGCTGTTGCCAGAAATGCCATGGGATCTCCATCTCTCAGATGAAGAGTTCTTGTGTTTCTTCCAACAGCACTGCCAGGGTGTGTGTTCTCTTTCATTTCCTGGCCCAGCTTCTGTTGTGGGGGGATGATGTCTAATGAAATGTCTCTTCTGCAACGTAGGGAAGGTCTGGCTTCTGGAGAAGCAGGCTCTTAGTTGTTTTGTTGGGGTTTTTTTCCTTGTTTATTCCTCTCCTCTCTGTCATTAGGGAGTTTCAAATAAAAAAAGAGGACATCAAAGTATCAGATGAGCTGGAAGATTCCTTGAGTTGGACAACAAACATACTTCTTTATGAAGTATGTGTGTCTCAATGCTGTGCAAAATTCTTGCTTTCCTGGTTTGGTTTTTGGCTTGGTTTTAGTTCCTAGAGGATCCCTGTGAAGACAACATGCCCTGTTATGGGAGCCCTACAATGGTGCTTTTTTACCCCTTAGAAGGGCCTATTAGAGGGAGCTTGTAGTAGCTGCTCATGGTAGCCAGCAGCTTTCAAAGGACAGAGGGAAGCTTAGGGGAAAGGGGCTTTACATCTCCAAGGCCATCTGGAGACTGGCCAAAGCAGTTTATATGGTGGATGTCGATGCAAATGATTAGTGTCAGTGTACATCAGTGCATTGGAGGTACTTCAGGTAGATGAGTCATGCCTGCCTTAATATATTTAGGGTGTCCTGTACTCTCCTCTTCCCAATCTAGTCTCTCCTCAGTCTGGCTGTAGAAAGCATTGTGGACAAAATGAATGACACTCTCTATGCTAGTAACTCAGCTTGAATTGTTTTTCTTGGGCAGCTGGCAACAACAATTGAAAAAGCTGCACTTCTCTGAGTTGGAGGGTTTCTTATGTGTGCTCTGTGCTCTCTAAGGCAAAAGAGCCTTGTTGAAGATAGACTGAAAGAAGCAAGCCTGATAGAAGGCTTCAGCTTTGCTGAATGAAGTTTCAGAAGTTTTGGAGCCAAGCTTTACAAGCTTTCCTCCAATCTGCGTGTTGTTTTAGACATATGCAAGGTGACTTGTGTTGCTCTTTTGCCTGATGTAAAACTGTCACCTCTGAGAGGTTCCCAGTTATGAGACACCTAAGGCTTCAAGGTGTGTGCCTGCAGGTTGGACTCAAGGTGAGAAGCCCTGTATTATGACCTGGAATCCAGACTTTAAGGTCAGTTCACACTCAGGCTTTGAGAATTTCTTATTGGCACCACTTCCTGTGCATGTTGTCTTGTGAATGCTGCATTCTAATGCTGCAGTGAAGGTGGCCTCCTTTGGTGGGAGAAGTCTTATCTTTGCTTGCTAATGGGCTCAGGCTGTTAAAGATAAGGCCTGCAAACCTGATCCTGCTGAAGTATGAGACAAAATTCCTGTTGACTGAATGGAGTCAGCTTTACCCAGAAGAGACTTGTTTGTGGCCCTGAGGCCTGTATTTGATGCTGGAGAAAAATCTCTTTATCTAATGCTTTTCTCTCTCTCTCTTTTTTTTTTTTTTTTTTTTTTTTTTTTTTTTTTTTTTTTTTTAATTTTTTTTCTTTGAGGGATGAGGGGTAAGGACCAAGGAGGGAAAGCTGAAGTCCAGAACTGACAGCATGAGGGAGGATTAGACCTAGCTGTTCCTCCCACCTTTTTCTCCCTGTTGGTGTGCCTCCATGGTAATTTAGACCTGTGGCAACCATCAAAGCCTTGTGCATACCTTCTGCACAAAGGGGTCTGTCTCCCACGTGAGGACGTTCTCTGCTGGGACAGAGTCAGTTTGTCCCCCAAAAGAAAAATCTTAAGCACCCAATTGCCTGCTTGACTGACTCCCTGACTGCTATTATGTTTCTAACCACAGTAATTGACTTTAGTAGTTATTAATGGATTATGACTGGGGAGGGGGGGACAAAACCCAACACCTAGCTTTGTAGCAGAGGGACCTCCTGACCAAAGTGTTGCTTTCCAGACGTGGGGCTTGACTGACAATCTGTCAAAGTGGGTGTCTTTTGCTTGTTTTCTCTGAGATAGGTGACATTGGCAAAAGGGAAATGTTCCCTTCTATCCTGAACTATGGTGGAGAGAAGGCAGGCATTGAACCATGAGACCATGTTTCCAAAGATGAAATGCTGCACATTTTTTTTTAATTGATCCTGGTGGGTGCTGCACAGCAACAGAAATTGGATTTTCTGTAGACTCTCAGACATTGGTCAGGGACTCACATGGAGAAGAATAATATGAGCACCTGCAGCACATGTAGGGACAGCCCAGTGCTACAAGTGCTTTGGCTGATTGCATGTGCACTGCCAATGAACCTGGAATTTTACATGTAAGACATCCTATTGGAGACGCTTTGAAATAGCTGTAGTTCTACAGGCCTTTTCTAGCCTAAAGGGCAGCTAAGGGTCACAGAACTTGTGGATACCTCTAAGTACATGAGTTTGGGTGGAAGAATAGAATAAGCACAAAAGAGAGCCTTGGTCCCTGAAGCCCTTTCTAGGTTCTTGTAGCTCTTTGAAATGGTTTGATGTTATCTGCTTGCCTCTTTTGCAGAGTGTTCTGTCAGTACTGCTTTGGCCTTCTGCTTTGGAGAAACCAGTTGCTCAGCTAAACCACAGAGATAGAAGAAGTCCTGAGTTCCAGTCTTGTTTCCATCTGGTCGTTCTCTGGCTTTCATTGAGTTGAGCCTGTGTTTACCACTTGGCTGCTGAGTGCCTTCTTATAGCAGCAGTAGTGCTTCTCACAGAAGTCAAGGATGCTGCAAGAATCCATTCCTGGTGCAGTAGAGGTTTGCAGACACCTTAACTTCCAAAGAAAGAATGCTGTAGAGGATGAAAGAAATGTTTAAAAACTCCTCTAACTGCTATTTTTACAGACATGACATTGTTTTCTTATTTTGCTTGCATCTTTCAGCTTCCAGCCCTGTGTCGTACTGCAAAAGTTCTTTAGGCAAAGCATACAGATGGCTTTTATTTAAAGCAGGTTCCATTTCCTGTGTTCATGCTATCCTTGTTACATTGACTTAAACATAGTTTTGGCATTTTATTCTTGGTAGCTGCAATAAATATGGCTTTGTGAGAGGTCATTTGTAACTTACTTAGAAGTTCCTTGTATGAACTGCTTCCTCTTATTCAGACTGAGAATGGGAAGCTGGCACGAAACAAGCAGTGTGGTTTGGAGAGCACAGCACCCATGTTCCTGATGCTTGATTTTAAGGATTTGTTCTGTCTTATGAACTAGTGTGAGGCCAGTGGGTGTCAGGTAACCTCTGGAGCTGGCATGTGCAGCAGGGACATAGCATTGCCAAGAGGACTCTGGAGTGGACTCTGCTGGAGGGTGTAAACTGAGCCAAATATTGCTGCAGGAGAGCTGTGCTGCCTCTAACTCTAAGAAAGTGCCTAAGCACTGGGGAGGGCAACCTGATCCAGCTTTGAAATTGGCCCTGCTTTGAGCACGCTGGACCAGAGACCTCTGTTCTATGATTCTTTAGGCCTATGATGCTGCAGCCAGTTCATGATTGTACTCAGAACTTGCCAACAAACAGAAGTGAGACATGAAGTAGGAAATAACAGTAAATTTTTCATGGAATCTTTCTGCAGCTTACAGCGCTGATTGTGTATGAAACATGCTGAGTACTGTACCGACTGATTTGAAAATGTTTACCAATGATAATTCTCTGCAGTTGTGACCTGCTGTATCTGGGAAGCTCAGCTAGTGAGTCTCGTGGCAGCTATCTCTTTGCTGCTTCCTATCCCTTGTGAAATGTGGTGGGACATGTTGAAATCATCTTGAACCAGAATTCAAAGTCTGTTTTGTAACCTGTTTTCTCTGATTTGCTCATGCACTTTCTTCAGAACATGAGGATTAGTAAGTGGTTTTTGTTTGTTTCTTTGTTTTTTTAAACAGCTCATTTGTGACGGGGACAGCCTGCTGTGGACACACCTCACCTCTGAGAATCTGGGACCTTGAGAGGTGAGTGAGCTTCCAGGCTACAGGGAGGGACTTGGCAAGAAAAATGAATAACAATGCAATATTGGACATGCTGCAAAAGGGTAAAACTCCTTTTGTCGACATAGTCAAGGGATGATAAAAGATGAAATGTATTGCAGAGTGGGGGACAAAGCAAACTGATGTGAAAAGGCATATGTGGGTGGTGGTTCTGGTTCAGGAACTTGGCTTTTCTTCTCAGCTTTTCCAGCTGATGGTACAGCCATCCTGGTTTCTTCCCATTACCTGTATACAGTCGAAAAACACCCATTACACCCTCCTTTCATCTGTCTCTGTTGATGCCTCAGTCTCAGCCAGAGGAGGTGAGGAAGGTGATCTTTATCCTCCCATTCACCTACTTCTCTGTGCTACTGGGAAGCCAGAGGCAAACACAGGCTCTGAAGTCACCTTGTCCTGGCTGGCAATTCCAGTAGCGCAGAGAAGTGAGGTGTGGCAACAAGTTATCTATGGAAGTGACTGAGGCACCTTGTCTTCTCTTTGTCCTAATAAGCACCGAGGAGGTTAATTGCTGTGGCCTCTGATTTGGGGTCTTTGAGTAGTTCCTGTTTGGTGAAGGTGCTGACCTTAGGAACTGGGGAAATGTTGTTCTCAAATCTTGATGTGAGACTCAACTGCTGACAAATTTGAAACTCTCAGCCTGAGGGTCTTAATGTAGTGATGGACAGATAGCAAATATTTCACAGGATTATTGGAACAGCAGCCCTGCCTTCCAGGACCAGAATTCTCTGGGTAGGAGTGGCGTGGCCCAGATTATTCAAAGGAGTGCTGTCAGGATTGAGGTGGGCAATGGCAGAAGGGGCCTGAGGGATGTCAGTAGAGCTGTATTTGGGAAAAGGGGGTGGAGGAGGATTGGTATGGACACAGGGTAGGTCTGAGATCAATTGCCTTCTAATCTATAGTTTAAATAGTTCAGATTGTTTAAGTCAACTGTATCAAATATAAATTTAAACCAGCTGTTTTTTTTCTCTGAAGTAGCAATAATACTTTGCAACAATGCATCTTACAAAGGACAAGCTGGAGCAGGAAAGAGCACCAGCACATTTAGTTATGGTGCATGTTTCTTAGTGACCCATCCAGTGGTGCCTTTGGAGTACCCCAGAAGGATGCAGGATGGGCTGTGATACCCCTGCCCATCAAGTCTTCTGGCCGTTCTTGAATAGAGGCATCTGACAGGGGTGAGGAGATGGGCAACCCTCTCCCCCCTACCCCAGCCTTTCTGACAGCCTTTCCCAAGGAAGCCTGAAGAGATAATAAAGCTGTGTAGAAAATAGGATTAAGGTAATGAACAAGCACAGCGGAGTTTGATCTTTCAATAATGTAAAAGCCTGAGTGACAGGCAAATAAAAAAGCCAAAGCAACCTAGGCCACTGGGCCTCTGTTGAAATGGCTAGAGTGTCAAACTTATTCTTCCCTCTTCACCTGTCACAGCTGGAATGCACCATGCCACTGGGCCTTTTCCTCTGCAGGGACCTGTGTGTGAGCTGGTAGATTCGTCAACATGTGTAGGGTTGGAGGCTGAGTAGGAAGCATGACTGTGACTCTAGCATGTAAAACTTGATGTCATGATTCATAGAAAGGGAGTACAGAACTGTCCTTCCAGGTCTTGACTCTCCATAAACTGTTTATCTTCCCAGCAGAGGTTTGCATCCATCTTCCAAGGCTCCAGTGATTTGCCAGAAGTGATCTTGTAGGGAATACTGCCTATTCCTTTGAGGCTTTTGAATGTCGTCTCCCTGGTTAGACTCCAGGAGTGAGAGTGTGGCATGAAAACTTAAAATCTTAGAGCCACCCAGGACTTCAAAACTCCTCCTGTGCTCAGTGTGTCCTTATAACATTTGGCTGACAGAGCCAGGGCCTCTGAGTATGCTGCTTATCTTTACTTGTGGCCACAAAAGGGCCCAGAGGCTGACCTGCAGAGGCTGAACATGACAAGGATATTATGTCTAAGAACAGAATCCAGATAACTTCTGACAAAAAAAAATAGGCAGGGTAGAATGATGCATAAGGTGTGTTCTTGAAAACCACAGGATCCTTAGCACCACTGAGGTGTTTAGTGTTGTCCAGGATCAGTTAGTTCAGTTAGAGGAGTTTTCTTTGCATCAGGGGGTGAGTAAGTAACAGTACAACAGTTTCTGTGCTATTCCATTGGGGTAGGTGGCCTTTTTACTCAACAGCTGAGACCTGGAACGTGCTACAAAAGGATTTATAGCTTAAATAACCTTTTGTGTAGTGATCATCTTAGTTCCAGGCCAGATAAGTTCTTGGCTGGTGCTTGTCACTGTTGGTCATGGTATGTTTTGTATTTATGACCTTTGCTGTTCCCTGGCCCTGGGGCAGCCATTCTCATCCCTCCAAGAGGAAGGGGATAATATCTTCACCTGTAAATATGTCCTGTGCTTTGAAACGGGCTTGGTTGGTTTTGGTGTAAAGGAAATTTTTAGTGGGGAAAGGAAACGCCTCTTGCTGCATCCCACTCCCATAACTGTCTTTCATTTCTGACTCTGCTGAGATGATGGCGTTGGATCAAAGCCACAACAGGCAGCAACAAGCAATTGTCAAGAGAGTCTAAAGCAGGGAAATGACTGCATAATGCCAAGACACTCTTTCTGATGGCTGAAATTCCAGCTGCTGCTACACCTGGCCCTGTCTCCTGTAATGAAGGAGGATTTAGATTTTTTTCTTATGCTTTTGAAGCTAGCTAACTGCAATTCTGGAGGACATCTCTCACCCCACACATGCTGCATTGTGCCATCTGATTGATTTTAGATGTGGGGAAGTTGCTGTGCACTTATTCCTGCTCTGGATCAAGGTCTATATGTGGAAGGCAGCTGTGAGTAAGTTCGGTGATTAGAGACCTGCAAAAAGAACAGTGAGCAGTATGGGCAGCATGATATTAACCTCTGTCTTTACATCAAGTATCAGGGCTTGGTTGAGGGCTCCTTGTCCTCTTCCAAATCCCCTTATCCTTCCTTTAGTGAAGGATATGATGGCAGCTGCCCCTCTTGCAGGTCATGTTCCTCTGCTCACTTTTGCATTTCTCTATTCAGACAATCCTGTCTTGTTTGCCAGTACAAGTGTGTGGCTCAACAGAGCAGCCACTTAATGGCAAGCAAGAGAAAAGGAAACCTTATTCAGATCCTCCTCCTCTTTCTTCTTCTTTTGCCTTTGGAAATTTAAACTCCTTGGAAGATGAGGGTCATGCACCACTAACAGCTCCAAGGCCAGCATTTGTCATTTGCCTGCAGAGAGCTGTTGCTTCCCATGTTATTGGGGTGGTCTTGCATGCCATTAGGAAACAAATGCCCCTGCCTCAAGGATGCTTCTCCATAAGATAGAATACTCCAGAGGTCTCGTTGCAGAAACTCTTGGAGCTATTCTGCAAAGCCTGACATTTGAAATGGACCAGTGATCTGTCTCACATGTAGTCTTCATGCTATAAACACTTGGAGTGCACAAATCCTACAATGTTCTTGTGACATAACATGACAAGCTGCAGGGCATGAGACCTGTGAAAACTGAACCAAAGTTAGCTGTGCCCTGCAAGCCACCCAGATCCTCTACCTTTTAAATATCCAGTCTTTGTCCAACTCCTCCCTCCTTTTGAAGGTATTTTTGGCAGAGTGGGGATTCTGTTTGTTTGTTTTCTGGTTTTTTGTTGTTTTTTTTTAAGAACCCTCTAATTTCTTGTTCGGTTTTTCTCCCTCTCGTGAGCCCTTTGAAAGTAACTTTATGCCGTCACTGACACCAAACTGACACTTTGCGTTTCCCCACTTCTTATCCCTTTATGGCAACAGATGTTGAAATTTTGTATCCCTTTTATCTGTCCCTCTTTGCCCTCTTCCTGTAATTAGGTTTCCCTTGTTAGCAGTACAAAGTGGCCCGGTTTGCTGCCTGGCCTTTTGAGCCATTGTGTCGGAGCACATTTTTTTCCTCCTCTTTCGGAAGAGTTCCTTCCCCCTTAAGTAATAGGTAGGGTGTGGGCCAGAGCTGTGGCTTTTTCTTGTTTCTTTGTTCTCCATTTATCTCTGCCACCTTTTTCAAAGACATGGAAAAAAAAAAATAGAGTGCATGGAAGGGGAAGATACAGAGTTGCATTTCTTGACCGTCAGGCCCCCTGCTCTTCAGGTGTTCAAGGCAGGTGCCTTTGATGTCTGCAGCTTTTGGGGATGTGGGAGGTAGAGGATACATGAGAGTGACTTGGGAGTGGAGGAGAAGGGAGATTCAGGTGTATGGATGGTGCCCTCAGCAGAGGCTTGGGGAGGGAGGAGTCTCAGGTAGCCAAGCAGCTGCTGAGCAGGTTAGTAATCAGTTCTGCCTATTGTGCTATTGCACTATGCTCTTTCTTTCCAAGAGCCAGCAAGAGTGTTACAGTCCTAAGCAACTGGCTGAAGTTTGCTAATGTGCTGCTACTGTATCTCTAGTGTGCTTCCATGGGTCCCTCGGTCAGTTACATCTGTCTGGGCCATGGAGGGGGCTAGAATGAATTGCTGTCTTTTCAACTTTTGACTTACGTTGATCTGCATCCATTTTGGTGGCTCTTCAGAGCCCATGGAGTTAAAATTTGTGCTCTCTGTACTGGTCGTAAAACAGCAAGTGTAATTTGAGAGTTGAAACATATAGCACTGAACACCCTGGTCAGCTGATTGCTACTGATGATTTCCTGGTTAAATCTAGTCCTTCTTGACTTTGTCTTCTGTTCTGCTCCAGTTTTTTAATTGTGTATAAGTAGATGAGTGAAATGAGAATGTGCAGGTCTAGTTCTTGGTTATAAGTCTTGCTGAATGTTTTCAATAAACATTTTTAATGTAGAAGCTTGGCTCAAGGCTTTTTAGTGTTGTGTTCTAAAATAATTTCTGTAGAAGAGCATTCTCTCCAAAGCTTTAAGTCCAAGGTTTATGCAAAATTTAGACCCTCTAATTTAATCACCAAAGGAGCTGTTGGGTGAAGAAAGCACATATATTCAG